AAGTAGCATATTACACATGAGTAACAGGGAAAAATAGCAAAAAGCATGGGAAACGTAGGCGAGTTTCCTGGCTTTGCTTTCAGTCATTACTGGTGCAAGCACATAAAATAATGTAAAATGAACACTGTTTTTAGTAAAGTTGTTTTTACTTTTGGGCTATTCAAGCAACCACTTCATAACATAAATGATTATTTTTTCCATGTTTTAAATTTATTTTTTTTCCCATATACCAGGTTATTTACATGGACTTTGCTCTTGAAAAATGGACAATAGTGTTGATTTGGTAGAACATGGTAAATATTTGAGACTTGTCAATGCTGCTGAATGACGCAGTCTTATTCATCAAATTCACTTTTGGTAAATATTAGAACATCTCCCTAAGCTTATTCTGCCAGTATTGCGACAGTGGATACAAACTGAGAAGCACTTCCTGTGGAAATACTACATACTTAATTGGATATTTAGTTCTGGCTGTGTTGACAGCTTTTTGTTAACTTGTTGTGCTTGGGGAACTCCTCATAGAAGAACAAACTTTTGTTATTTTACTGGGTATAAATTAACCACCTCCCGTCCATGGCCGTTCCTGAACGGCCGGACGGGAGCCTTATAGGAGTCTTTGCGGTAAAAAAACGTGCGATTTCGGAAACGCGCGTTTGCCGCACGTTTTTTTACCGCGAATCGTGGTAAAAAAACCGTGCAGAAACGCGCATATTCAATCCGCCCAGGTGGGAACCCAGCCTTAGAAATGTAAACAGCCAGCGATGGCTGTTTACATTCAAGTGATCAGGCGTCTCTAGAGACGCCCGGTCGCTTGTAGTAGGTGTCAGTAGCAGTAATAGTAACTCCCAGAATTGATGTTAGTGGCTGCAATAATAGTCCCCCGCATTTGTGTCAGCGGCTGCAATAATAACCCCTATATTGGTGTGAGTGGCTGCAATAATACCCCTAGCATTGGTGTCAGTGCCTGCGATGATAACCCTCATCATTGATGATAGTGTCATAAATCAGAAGAACAAACCCCCATGGGAAAATAAACCTTGGGAATTAGTACATAAAGCAATTATTTAGAATATAACACTCTACATTTAACACTCTAAAAAACACATTTTTAACACTCTAAAATATGTTTATTGACGCATCTGTTTATTGACACATGAAACATAGCACAATGCATCAAAAAGCTTTTTGATGCATTGTGCTATGTTTTTATGCGTCAATAAACAGACGCCATTGATTCATTACTTGGAGTGCCGGTGTCTATGTTATCCTGTGATTATAGGCGGTTGCCATCCGTCGACTGCCGCAGCACCCATCTTTTATAAGGAACATCGGTTTTGAGTGCAATGGGTTCATGGACTGTATGCCTTTATCCATACAGGAAATGCTGTTACACAAGATTGGGATTTCAGCTGCTATTTTATTTCAGAGTGTGATGATTTAAGCTATTTATTCTACTTTAATACACCAACTTGCATTGGCTATTTACACATGACTCCCTGCCTTAGTGGAATTACCACATGTGTCTATCCTATAATATAGTCAGCCAGGTTTCTATTATTTATTTATTTATTCACAAGCATGAAATATATTTATATAACTATAGTTTTAGGTAATATGTGTTTACAGTGTTTAATAAAGAGTGGTATATTCTAAATATTTGGTTTATATACTTATTCCCAAGGTGCATATTCCCATGGGGTTTATTTTTTTCTGATTTATGATATTGTTTGGGTGTGAATACCCCTTGGAAATTCTTGGAGATCCTGATGATAATTTTTTGGTATTTCTTCTAAATTAACTATTTTATTTTTCCCTGATAAGGGGGCCCCCTACTGTATTTATTTGCATTGATGATAGAACCAGAAATAAAATCACTCAGCATTGGTATTAGCGTCAGCAATAAACAACCCCCAGCATTGGTGACAGTGGCAGCAATAATAAAGCTCAGCATTGGTGTCAGTGACTGCAATAATAGCCTACCCCATTAGTGCCAGTGGATGCAATAATAGCTCCCAGCAGTGATGTCAGTGGCCACAATAATAATCCCCAACATTGGAAACAGTGGCTGCAGTAATAAAGCCCAGCAAAGATGATACTGGACGCATTAACAGCCCCCAGCATTGGTGCTAGTGGTCGCAATATTAATCACCTACATTGGTGTATTTGTCAGTACTATTATCCCTGCCCTTTTTTTTGTTGGCCAGTGGCATTGTTGGTTAACGGCAGTGCTGTTAACCCCCTACTTCCTCCCTCTGCATTGCTGGTCAATGCTGTAACACCCTTCCCTCTTTGCATTGCTAGTCTGTGTTTACCTGATCACGCACTTTTAAACAGCTTACTCTCTCTCCACTATTAGGCTAAAACTATAATTCTACTGCCAGGCACAGATCACCTCAGCTGACAGTACCGGATCCATTGCAGTGCTGGGTCTAAAAATTCAGTGAGCATCTCCGTATCCGGCATCCTACTGCCTGTCTGCTTCATTATAGTGTCAGGTGGGGGAACAGAGAGGACGTCCCAGCACCCGGCATACCACTTCCTCTCCGCAAAATGGTGGTGGGCCAAAGAGAGAGCTTGCGGGCCACATGTTGGACACCACTTGCCTAGTCTGTACATGCACACGGAAATGACAACAATTGCTTAAGCAAAATCAATTTTATACCTATTTGCAACATATGAGCATTTGTATTGTATGCAACTGATTATGATCACTACTCACTGTTCTGTTCAGTGTTGACTCTGCAGCCGTTTGTTGTTGTGGTCACTGAAGGTGGACGTCTATTGACAAAGTAAAAACATGCAAAATGCTGGGCAATTTGATGCATTATATACGCAGGTTTGGTTGTATAAATATCAATGTTTGCATCCACATATGAGGAAAGTAAAAAGTCCCTGGTAGGCTTTGAATATGTTAATAATGTCTTAAATCAATGGAAGCTGCATTTATTTCCACAAAATCCAGCCATCTAATATTTATGGACACTTTTAAAGAGAAATTGCGGACACCAAGTGAAACCAATCACTGAGCTATTAATGCTTTCAAACGGACACTGCAGCCATGCTAAACTCTCCATAAATTACCTTAATCTGAGTTCACTGCAATCTGCTGCAACTAGGAGATTGCTATGAATATGTTTCTGTGCACTGTATCTCCACTCACAGGTAAGGTTTGAATTGGATTGAAGACTGGGAAAATCTCAGTACTGTATTTTTTTTTATTAGGCTTTCTTTGCAGTAAGGGTGTTGCTCTTCTGCTTAAGAGCAAGGACTAGTAATTAATTTTTGGGGGGCTGGAGTCTAGCTTTAAGATGTATAGGGTTGAATAAAAAATAATGTATTTCTTTTAAATAGTGATGCACTGATACCGATACCAGTATCGGTGCCAATAGTGAGCATTTGCATCACACTCATACTCGTATTCCTGCAAATGCTCTGATACCAAAAACCAATACCGGCTCTTTAATTATTCAAATGAAGCCGCTGCCTTAGGTCCCATGCTTGCTGGGGGACCTCTTGGGAAACAAGGCGCCTCTGATTACAGCGCTTCCGAAGGCCCCCACATCTCCCCTTCCTTAGACACCCTGCACAACTCCCCCTCCTGAGACCCTCCGCATATCTCCCCTCTCCTGAGACCCTCCGCACATCTCCCCTTCCTAAGACCCTCCACACATCTCACCCTCCTGAGACCCTCCCCACATCTCCCCCTCCTGAGACCCTCCACCCGGAGACATCAGGCCTGCACCCCGGTGCAGAGTGGCAGCACAGAGTGTACTACCTGTACTATGTACAGATATGGTGCAGTAAAACTGCACCTGAACTCTACCGCTACTTTAGAAATATTGCCTGCTGTTTCTGTCCTGTGCTTTATTCTGCATTGCTTTATAATGCATTGCTAGGATTTGTAGTCCTCTATAGCTGATGGTATAATTCTGCATTGCTGTATAATGTATTGCTAGCATTTGTAGTCCTCTATAGCTGATGGTATAAGTCTGCATTGCTGTATAATGCAGTATTGCTGAGATTTGTAGTCCTCTATAGCTGATGGTATATTGAATTGCTGTATAATGCAGTATTGCTGAGATTTGTAGTCCCTTTAGAGCAGTGGTTCTCAACCTGTGGGTCGGGACCCCTTCGGGGGTCGAATGACAATTTGCCAGGGGTCGCCGGGAGTCTCCCACTATTAGATAGCTATTAGATTATCATTATTAATAATAAAAGCTGACACCCTTGGCTTGTGTTATATGGTTTGCCATTTTAGCTGTTACACCAGTGGTTCTCAACCTGTGGATCGCTGTGTGATTTCTGCTGTGCTTGGTGAGAGTCCTCCTCAGCCCTCTCCTAGCGCAGCAGTGTCAGTTCTCCAGCCACGCTGCCAGATATCGCTGCAGCAGCCGCGTCAACCCTAAATTTTACCGTTGGGGGTCACCACAACTTTGCAAATGTTACCAAGGGGTCCCGACCCTAGAAAGGTTGAGAACCACTGCTTTAGAGCTTGAAGTCAGTGGCAGAACTCAGGGTTCCAGCGGTCACAGATGCGACCAAGCCCCGGCACTGCACCACTGTCCTAAAATCATTAGTCTGTATTTTTTTTTTTTTTAACTGTCACGTGACACCAAAAAAGGTATCTATCTGTAATTGGCATTGGTGAGTACTTAAGGTAAAGTATCGGTACTCGCACTCGGTCTGGAAAAAAATGGTATCGGTGCATCCCTACTTTAAAATATCAAAGAGAAAGGAAATGGGATCCAAAATATGTTATACAAATTCAACCTACAGTGAATATTTTGACGTGAGCAACAAGATACGATCCTCATAGTAGATATGCTAAGTACTTCTAAGTTTGAGTTTGTAGCTGTTGATTGATGTTGCTTACAATGCTTTCGTGTGTGACAGTTTTAGTGAACCTTCCACAAATATACATTGTTTTCAAAACATGAAACCACTGATTAGGTACAACATGACAAAAAAACCCAAAAAATAGCTTTGTCTTTTTCTTGCAGGTGGTTTTAGCCCAGTTGGACAGCCACTTAGCCGCACACCATCAATCAGACTGCAGATGGTAAGCTTGTTTATATTTTACAGAAACACTTTTTGTTTTGATTTTGTGCTGATTGTACATATGGGGATTTGATTGATTGATGATCAGATCCTCAATTTTCGAATTCAGCTGTCATCCACATCCTCTGGTAAGGGCAGTTCAGAAAATCCATAACCCCCATCTAAATGACAGTGCCTGACAGCATTGCACTACAATCTGTTCATCTTTGCTTTATCAACAGTGCAGAGTTTCTTATCTATCCAGTGTCTGCATAGTGCATTACAACAATATTCTGCAAGGCTAATTTTAGTTATTAGGTCTAAAAAAATGATGCTTTGTTATTGTATCATTAAACTTTGTTGTAAAAAAATGTAGTGATGGATTGCTATTGCAGTGCTTGGATTCTTGAAGTTCTTGAGTAAATAATTAGTGTCTGTGATATCACTAAAGGAACCACTGGAACTGTAGTGTTATGGCATGTTTTTGCAACAGTGTTTATTCAGAATACACTCAATAGTTAGGTAGTTATACTTATCCCACAAGTATACTTAAAGCCCAATAAGTGATTGATTTATTAAGTCAGTGAGATCTAAGTAGTCAGCTAGGATGTTCCTTGAATTTTATGCACAACACCTGCTATTAAAAAGCAAAGTGTTTATCTTTGCTGTTTAGCTTAAAGAGGTAGATGATCAATCATTGCGAACTGAGTTACCTAGCAGGTTCAGATTCACAGCATGTCAACCAGGCAGACTTGAAACCATGATCTAAGTGCTGAGCTTTTAAGCCAATCTTCTGCATCATGCAGTGTATAGAAAACAGTATTTTAATGGTCACATTAGGACCACTTCAACCATATAGGAAAAAGAGGCAGCTACCCGGGGTCCACTGATTCAGGGAGCCTATTAGACTTAGGGCCGTTTGCATTAACTTGAGGGCACCAGGTTTGGGAATTCAGGAAAGGTATTTATTTAAAGCAACCCTGTGTCTGGAAAAATGTTTTCAAGTATTGCATATCTGTAATAGAAGAGTGTAAATACTTGCCTTGTCAGCTGTAACAAAGGCTGATCTGATTCCGAGAAACAGTCACTTCTGGAAGTGTGGATCTCCTGGGTTTAATGAGGGGGGTGCAGATGGGGTTTTTTTGTGTGAAATAGTTTAGTTAATGAATGTTGAACAGATAAGAAAACAAGGACCTCTTGGTATACAATGTAACTCCTAGAACGCCTAATCTACAACCGCCTAAACCACCACCTCACTGTAAATAACCTCCTTGACCCCTTACAGTCTGGCTTTCGTCCCCAACACCCCACTGAAACTGCCCTCCTAAAACTCACTAATGACTAACTGCTAAAAACAATGGCCACTACTCCTTACTCTTGCTTTGCCTCCAAGACTCCACTCTATTATGGTTCTCCTCCTACCTATATAAGTGCTTCTTTAATGTCACCTACAAATTTAACTCCTCCCCTCCTCTCTCTGTAGGGCTCCCCCAAGGCTCTGTCCTTGGAACCCTTCTCTTCTGTATCTACACTACCTCTCTTGGTCAGTTAATAACCCCACATGGCTTCCAATACCATCTCTATGCCGATGACACTCAAATATATCTCTCCGCTCCATAACTCACCCCCTTCAGTGTCCTTGTGTGTCACTAATCTACTAACTGACATATCAGTCTGGATGTCATAAAACTCAATCTTTCAAAAACTGAGCACATGATATCCCCCCCGCCCCCACCCCAGTGCACCTTCCCCCAACTTTTCCATTGAGATTGATAACACAACTATCCCTCTCTCCCCACATGCTAAGGTGCTAGATTCATCCACCTGCTCAGTGTCTGCAACCCCCCTCTGCCAATCCCTCCACTGACTTCCAATCGCCAAGGACACAATTCAAAATATTATCAACCACTTACAAAACCATCCGCAACTCTATCCCCAGCTATACTTCTCCTACGCTCGCCTCCAGAACTCCTCTAGAGCAGGCCTTCTTAAACTTTCTCCACTCGTGACCCCTTTTTGGGCGAGGAAATTTTTAGGGGACCCCAGCATCGGACGGTGTCTCTTGGACTGACAGTCAGTGTGTCATTACCACCTACTACTAAGCACCCTCTCCCTCCTTAGCTTTAACTCCAGCAGCTGTGCTCCACTTCTGCTGGGTTAAAGGAAGCTCCGTCAATGTAAAAAAAAAAAAACCTTCCTGCATGCACGTGCTCAGGAAGGCACCAAGTGCACAGAGGTGGGGGATATGCGACCTTAAAAACTACACTACACTGCACATTAAACAAAAAAAATCTTGCTTGGAGCCCGGGCCTCCCCGGCCGCCTGGGCCCCTCACACAAGTACCGGCTGTACCCCCCTGATGGCGGTCCTGGCCGGGGACTCAGATCGCGACCCCCCTGTTCACTTGTGGGACCCCATATGGGGTCGCAACCCACACTTTAAGAAGCACTGCTCTAGAGTATCTCCCATCCTCTGGAACACCCTACCCCAATCTGTCTATCTCCTACTCTGACTGCCTTTAGGCGATCCCTGAAGACTCATCTCTTTAGGGAAGCCTATTTCTCCTCAACCTAACCACTGAACTATCACTTTCTCAAACTTTCCCCACACAGCTACCACCTCTTGTATCACTTGCCCCTCCATGTAGAATGTAAGCACTCATGGGCAGGGCCCTCCTTACCATCTTGTCTTGACTTGTATTGTAATTGTAATGTCTTCCTTAAATTGTAAAGCGCTGCACAAACTGTTGGCAATATATAATTCCATATAATGATAATAATAATATATACTGCAGCAAAGGAGCATGCCTGTAAATACTACATGTTTTATAAGCTGCTGAAGAAAATAAAACTGTATATGTAATTTAGAAATTAATTATGGTAGGATTATATTGCCTTTGGGCTTTTAATATAACTATTTAAAGTTAGACAAATTATATTTTACTCATTTTGTTTTAACCATCATACACCCTGAATAAAAATAAATACCTAGGTTACTAGGTGCATCAAATTAACCACTTCAGCTCCTATAACTGTTTGCCGTTCTTCAGGTTGAGCAGGCATGGTGTGGAAAAAAGCCTTGGGCATACAAGGTTTGCCTAGATCTTTAGATTACTTTTTTTGGGGTGTACCTGGCACACACAGGTCTTCAAGTGGTTAAAATGTATGCTATTTTCTAGTTGCTACTTCATTACATAGATGAGATGCATGTCATGTGTTAATCGTTTGCTGATTTTTGACAGTGTGTTGATGTTAACGTATAGATTTAGGGTTAGTTCACACCAGAAACTGCATCACAACTGCGTGCGTCTCCGCAGTTGCATTGCGATCCGTTTTGATGCGTTTATGATGCGTTCAGATGAGTTTTTTCCCCAGGATGATGCCACAATGTTCCGGTGCGTTTTGATGCGTTCCGGTGCAGTTAGATGCAGCTAAAATAGGACAAGCAGTACTTTTTCTGACTGCATCTGAACGGACTGCAATGGTGTGAATACAGCATGAGAAAGCCCATAGGAAAGCATTGTGATGTATTTTGGCTGCAGTCAAACTGAACGGACTGCATCACAACTGCATATGGTGTGAACTAGCCCTAAACCTGTCTCAAACCAGGGCAGTTCAAACTGAGTATACAATAAAAAAAATCCATAAGCAGTGGTTATCTGAAAGGTTTAAGCCACCCAAAGTGATATTATAGTAGAACCTGGTACACTGAGTTAGCCCCTTTTGCATCTTATATGTCTAAGATATTCCAATAGTGAGATTTCCCTGACAGAATTCCAGAGTTCATTCCAATCATAATGTCCACAGCAGATGTTCAGATGCAGGAACGTATCGGTAGTCTCTGAGAGATAAAATAAATTGTCACATGGTTTGAAGGGTAAGAAAACGTTCTCACAGAGTTTCCTTAACCTTTTGCCCCTACCTCCCTAAAGCAGGTGTAGCTTACCCCCCACCCCCAAATCGCTGTACTTACCTAGATCTTGCCTTGAAGGTCTAGGTAACCTTCATATTCCTCTGATGGCTTCTATGCTGGCGACACAGACACCCAGGACTCTCAGCCACAGGGGCTGAGAGGTTCCAGAATATTATTAGATTTGCAGGGAAGAAGCTGGCCTTTCAGTTCCTTCCATCTTTTCTGGATTGTAGCTGGGATCTGGATCTCTGGATTTTTATTTTACACAGTGCTGATCTTCCTGTCTCCAACCACCATATTGGTGACAGACATGGCCCTAATTTTATATGGATGGTCAGACAGCACATGCTCACTGTTTCATAGGCCACTAGACCTTAACATGTTATAAACACTGCCTGGCTTATTCCAGGCTGAGGCGGTGATAAGTAGTATATATGTACAGTATCTCACAGTACACACCTCACATTTTTGTAAATATTTTATTATATAATTTCATGTGACGACACAGAAGAAATGACACTTTGCTACAATGTAAAGTAGTGAGTGTACAGCTTGTATATCAGTGTACATTTGCTGTCCCCTCAAAATAACTTAACACAGCCATTAATGTCTAAACCGCTGGCAACAAAAGTGAGTACATGCCTTGCTAAAGAAGCTGAGGGTAAAGGTGATGGACTGGCCAAGGATGTCTCCAGACCTAAACCCTATTGAGCATCTGTGGGGCATCTTCAAACGGAAGGTGGAGGAGCACAAGGTCTCTAACATCCACCAGCTCCGTGATGTCGTCATGGAGGAGTGGAAGAGGACTCCAGTGGCAACCTGTGAAGCTCTGGTAAACTCCATGCCCAAGAGGGTTAAGGCAGTGCTGGAAAATAATGGTGGCCACAAAAAAATCGACACTTTGGGCCCAATTCGGACGTTTTCCCTTAGGGGTGTACACACTTTTATTGCCAGCGGTTTATTTCTGCCCGTGCGTGCCCGCAGAAAAAAATTGCCGTCTGGAGACGGCAACCCGCAAATGCAGCAGTGCCGCCCGTCTGTTTTTTTACTACCGGCGGACGGCAAGAGGTTAATGGCTGTGTGTTGAGTTATTTTAAGGTGACAGCAAATGTACACTGATATACAAGCTGTACACTCACTACTTTACATTGTAGCAAAGTGTAATTTCTTCTGTGTCGTCACAGGAAATGTTATAATAAAATATTTACAAAAATGTTAGGGGTGTACTCACTGCAGTGAGATACTGTATATTGCCTATCATATTGTTAAATTGCATTTATCCTTTGAGTGACATAGCATAGTGACAAGTAGCTAGATGAGAAAATGTAACACCTGTGTACAGAATATTGGTGGAAAAGATTTCTGCTCTATTACAGCACACCAAGAGTCAAATCAAATAGACCTCGGGGGGGATCTGTGCCATGAGGAAATACAGACACACCCTGCCTAAAAATGAAAAAGCTCTTAATTTCACAAAGCAAACAGAACTTAATAGTAACCTTGGCTATTGGCGAATGTGTGGGCAGGAAGGAATTAAAGAAGCAAAACTTGTTTTCTGAAAACACCTGTTCCTAAAGTAAAAAGTGTGCCAATCAAAATAAAAAAAATGTCTGCCTATTCTGTTACATTGCACGACAAAGAAAGCCAAGTAGTTCATATCCTTCCTATTAACTGCACAGTAGTGTACTGTTTGCTACACTATAAAGCATGTTGCTAAGCTAAGAGAATTTCTCTTTATTACTGCCACATTTATCTTTTCAGAACCAGAGCAGTTTTGGCTGTTATTAACCAGGGTGGTAAACCCCTTTCCTGCCCAGGCCATTTTTCAGTATTCAGCGCTTTTGTACTTTGACTAACAATTATTCTGCCATGCAACGCCATACCAAAATTATTTTAAATATTTTTTGGGGGGACACATAGAGCTTTCTTTTGGTGGTATTTAATATCCAGTGGGTTTCTAATTTTTTTAGTATATTAAGGAAAAAAATACAGAAAATTTAGAAAAAGAACCTGTTTCCTCTATGTTAATCGCTTGCCGCCTGACCGGACGAATGGCAAGCTCCTATCAGCGGGTCGCCATAATTAAGCAGTACCCTCACCTTCAATCCCGGGCTCTGCTGCCCCATCTGCGGCCCGGGACCGGCTCAGGAGGGTGTCAGGCGAAAGGTGGGAGGGAGATCAGCATCTTCATCCTTGCTGAACTCCCTCCGACGTCTGAATTCGGAAGTGATGTGTATTATTCCTTATAATCCTGAGGAAGGGGGCTTGCCCCTGAAACGCGTCAATCTTGGCTGACTGCGGTCGGTGGACGGTGATGTGACCGGAGACTACCGTGTTACATGGTCGGGGATATACCATGTTGGGTTAACAGACAGTGTGGCCTCTCATTTGTTGTTAAAGCGTGATGAAAACGTTTGTTTGTGAGTACTTTTATCCCTTGTTTTATTTATTGTAATAAACGATTTTACACACGGAGGTGGCGCTCTGTTCCCTTTTGTTTTCCATCTACTTTCCTGTTACATAACACGCATATGCCCAAGAAAGCTTACTCACGATCTGTGGTGCGCCATTTATTGGACGCTGCTAAATCCTGCATTCCTGGCCTTTGGCAGAGCCCCTCCCCCCCTACAATGATGGTGTGGATACGCATAGTGGAGGAGATTAGAGAAATGGAGGACTTGACCTTGTCCTTCCATAACAGGCGGCAGCGATATCTCCAGACATTGTTTTATTGGATGGAGTTCATGGAATCCCCTGAGGGCCGGAACTTGTTAAAATAGTCTCTCTCTATTTGGTTGGCAATTGGCATTTTATATATTGATGATACTACAGGGAATCCCCCCCTGTGAACCTGCAACCACTCCCATTCGCTACTTTCTTCTCTATACCTACCCCCACCACTTTTTTTTTTTAAGTTAAACTTCTACCTGATGTTAGAGGATCTTCCGGGTGCTTCCCAATGGATTGTCCAGCATTGATTATAAACGTAAATAAGCATTAGGTGCGCCAGAGTGCGAAAACGACAATTGCGCTATAAATGTTACATATCGCCGCGAACGTCGGAGTGAGAGCAATCATTTTAGGGCCATTAATCACTGATAACACTAAACTGATGAGCGGTAAAAGCTTTTAAAATGTGCCTATGGTTAATTTTGGGTAATGTAGTTTTTTGAGGTTTCGGAGGCGTGCGCAATTTTAAGGTTTGACATGACGTGAACCCGTCTTTTTTTATTTTACCAAAAAATTGGGTAATAATAAATGTTTTATAATTTAATATAAGGGAAACAGTTTTGCTTTTTTTTTTCAAAATTTGTGATAATTTTTCCTAATATAGTAAAATATAAAAACCGCATTGGTGAATAAATACCACCTAAAGAAAGCTCTATCTGTCCCCAAAAAATGGTATAAAATTCATTTCACTACAGCGTTGTATGACGGAATAAATGTCAGTCAAAGTACCGCAGCGCTGAATACTGAAAAATGGCCTGGCCAGGAAGGGGGTTTAACACCAAGGTCAGCAAGTGGTTAAGCTATGAAAAACTGCACATAAATAATCTTTCTTCATAAATTTAGGCCGAAATGTATTCTGCTACATTCCTTTGGTTAAAAAAAAAACCCTAAATAAGTGTATATTAATTACAATGTGTGAAAGTTATACAGTCCACAGACAATGGTATATATATTTGAAATGTATCAACCCTGGTGCCATGACTGCTTATCACATTTCATGAGGCCCTAAAATGCCAGAACAGTAGAAACCCCCACAAAATGACCCCATTTTATAAAGAAGATACTCCAAGGTATTTGGTAAGATGCATGATGAGTGTTTACAAGATTTCATTTGTTGGCACAAGTTATCCGAATATTAAAAAAAATATATATTTATTGTTGGTTAACCACTTGCCGTCCGCCCGTTGTAAAAAAATGGACGGACGGCACTGCAGCATTGGCGGGTTGCCGTCGCCAGACCGCATTTTTTTTCTGCTCGCACGCGCCCCCTGGCGGGCACGCACGAGCAGAAAAGACCCGACCAATGCAAACACCCGTTACCGGGTGTTTCACATATAGGCGATCAGCGGCTCCATAGCCTGCCGATCGTCTATATGTGCTCGTTTCCAAAGCCCCCCCTGCGCGGCTGCCGCCGCCGGTTTCCCCCCCTGACCCCTCACCTTGAATCCCAGGATCCGCTGCCCCATCTGCGGCCCGGGACCGGCTCGGAGTGCGTCAGGAGGAATATTGTTCATGTATACACACTCACAGTGGGTGTACATTCCAGTGCCTTGTAGCTGTTAGCTTGCTTATTGGCGCAGTTCATTCTCTATATTTTATACTTGTATAACAATTGTCCCCATAGAGATGGAATCCCTGATAGAATAAAGGTGACAGTAGGCTCCAGCTGGCTATCCATCCCTTGATACACACGGAAATCGTATGTGTATCCAGTTCTTCATTCACAAAGCTTGTAAAATGTCACCCCATACCTGGCACGTTTACTGGGGATTTACTGTTTTATAGCAAGCCGGCCTGTAAAACGTATGAGGGACTTACCAATGCAGATATTTTGCTGGGGGGGTATATGGTTCTGAAAATTTTGTGGGGAAAAATGGAGGAGTGGCATAATTTTCTAATGGAAGTAGCATGTATACAGGGGGAAAAAGAGCAGAGATGACAGATCTTTGTGCCACTGCCCCTTCATTGCTGATTCACAAGCTAGCGTAGGGCCTACACCAGGTTATTTTGCTCAGCTGCAGTGGAGGCTGCAGCTGCAGGGGTGTCAAAGGCTGGCTGTGCTGCCTGGCAAGTGTGCTTGATTTAAATAAATACCTGAATAGACTAAGGCTGCTCATATATGTGTATTTTAAATGTGTATTTAGCTAATTTTGTTTTAATTTATCATTTCATAAAATATACTGATTTCACCAAAAATGCAAAGACTGGCAATGTCTCATTCTGGATGAAAACAGTTTCTTCTATACAATATGCATATTTTAAGCAAAGAGATTTTTACAAAATATAAGAATAGGGCACTAAAATATCTTCAACTAGACGGTTTTCCCGAGTGTGGCTCGGGGTTAATTTTCTGTACCATAAGCGGTAACCCCGAGCCACACTCAGGAATACACAGCGCGTCTCTTACCTTGTCCCTCGAGCCGCGCTGTGTGCTCCGGCCGATTCCGGGTCCCGTCCCTTGCGAGCGTCCGCGTTGCATGGGGGCGGAACCGGCAGGAGATTAAAAAGTTAGATAAAAAACCCGAAAACAAATAGAACGAAAAAAGGAAGAAAAAAAAGAAAAAAATCATACCCCCTGGGAGGTTAAATGTATTAACTTTTTACTATACCGAAAGCTGTCATCTGAATTTTATGTTTATCTAATCGTTGTATAGATTAACACAGAAGCAAAGGTTTCTTCCTTGAAAGCAGAAGCTGACAGTGGGCTACCTATTCAGGAAACAGTAAGTAATCTTTATTATATAGCACCTTGTTTTTATATAAATGAGTACATTATCCCTTCTCAGTGTTCTTAATCTGACCATGCTTTGCAATCACTGTACAATTCCCACCTTTAGACTTGTTTCCTTCATGGAAGACTCACCAGGTGGTATTTCAATAAAAAAAGAAATCAGGGATGCACTGATACCGATACTAGTATCGGAATTGGTGTGAATACTGAGTATTTGGGCGAATGCTCATACTTGCCCAAATGCTCCGATACTTACCTCTGATACCGGAACTTCCGGTCAGAGGGAGCATGGGCCCGGCTTCCTTTCCAATCAGGAAGCAGGACGTTGGGTTATGACCCGCCTCCTGGCTTCCTGATTAGTTAGGAAGCCAGGCTGCCTACCAACAAGTGAAGCCGGCTTCCTAGCCAATCAGGAAGCCAGGTGGCACGTCATGACTCGCCTACCGGCTTCCTGATGGGTCAGTGAGCCAGGCAGCCTCTGAAGCAGGTGTTCTTTCGCAAGAACACCAACTTCACAGGCAATCAGGAAGCCAGGCGACGAGTCATGATCTGCCTCCGACTTCCTGGTAATCGGGGCACAAGGCAACAGTACTCGGTATCGGCAGGTACCGGAAAAAATATCGGTACTCGTACTCAATACCAAAAAAACGTTCTCGTGCATCCCTATTGACAGTATTACTTTTGAAATGAAAGCTTATATGATATTCTTATGGCTGGATTTAGATATACTTTGCTAGCCATCAAAGCTGAGAAAGGGAAATTTTAAATGGTATCCTTTTATGGAATTACACCACCCCTTACTATAGACTGAATGTTTTTTTTACTGTATATTTGTGTTGATGTACCAGATACAAAGGAATAGGGTTGTATTCTGACTCCGATCGTTGTGATAGCGAGATATATCCCTTGCTGAGACCTCTATGCCTGGCCTGTATAAGCAGATATACTCACTGCGGACAATCCTCGTCAGATAGCTGAACTCGTCAATACCGATTCATTCAAAAAAGGTGTTTATTCTTCTACATCAGGTTACAGCAGATGATAGGAACAGCAGATGATAGGAACAGCAGTTGAACGGTTATAGTATTGTGCGGTCAGAAAATGATGCCTTTCCTACGTACTGTGCAGATTACCTGTGTGTCCTTGTTACATGTGGCTTTCAACTGTGCCCATGACACAGGAAGTACTGCACACAGGAAGAAAGGTGGGGCTACACTAGGGGAAAATACATCGTCACATGAGGAATAATCACAGAAAGCATGTTTGTTACAACAAAAGGCCACTAGATGGCAGCATAGGATAACACATAGATTTAGCTATGAGAAAATAGTTAGGCAAATCACACTATATAAATTCTAACCTATATAACAATGCTAATATTAACTGAGGCTATGCATCTCATATTCTATGCCCCTGTTGGGGCGGCACAGGTTGTCTTAAATTTGATCCCAATATGTTCCATTTCATCATGTCTAAGTTATGGCATTGTCAGTTTAGAGCAAGATCACATCATTAAAATGTGACTTGTTGCATTGCTATGCTTGTATCACTGCAGTTTATACATTAACTTACACATTAATACTCAATACTGTTAAATATATAACCTATACCAATCTTTTACAACCAATGTATTGCAGATTTCAGTAAATATAGTGTACCTTTGTTTTGCGCTTGTGTGTGTTTTCTGGAGGGAATAGCTTACAACATTTTCTCACAACATCTGTTTCAGTTATAATATTTTCAGAGAAGCAATCTAAAAAACTATTTTCTGTCATGTGAAGCCAAGCGATGCTGTGTGTATATTGGCAGTGCTTCATTGTACATGTTACAAGGACCACCAAATCACTGAGGCATTTCCAACAAACTAGGCCTGCATATAGCCCATCTGTTTGGGGAAATGTATTTATTTACACCTGTTTTTGCATTATTTAATTTCAAGTAATAGTTGTGGTTAAAACAAAGGCAACAGACAACTGTATAAAAAAATTATATAGGATTATTGGACAAAGCTATAATTTCTATAAGCATACTATTTTGTTAACTGCTGAGCCTTTTGATTTGGGACTTGCCAACAGCAGGATGTAAAGAGAACTCTAGTCAAAAATAATATTAAAAAATAGCCAATTCAAAGATAAAATAATTAAATGCTTTTGCTCCACTATTCACCTTCATTCCAAAGCAGTTGCACATTTCTACTTCTCTGCCACTACATGTCCTGTTCTGGGTTAAACACTTTTTTGTGCCATTAGATGTCCCCAGTCTGATGACCAGCATCAGTCATCACAATTGCTCTGATCCCAGGTCGTCCTGTACCCACGTCGTCCTGTACCCACCTCAGTCTGTTACATGACAGGGAAAGGAGAAGCAGCATCATTTTGAGCTCATCACTTTGTCACTCTGCTTTCTCTTCCTTTCAGCATTCTTCTGGTCAGCACATGAACAATTACACTGCTTTCTCCTCCCACACTCCATCTGTACTATACAGGGACTTTGTGGGGCTGATACCAGGTCAAATCAATATACTTACACTGCCTGTATTTAAAAAAAAAAACATGTAATGATGTATTATCGAATAAAGGACTCCATTGCTTTGTGTCTTTTATATCTACCAAAAAAATGTTCCACATGTGGTGTGCTGTATGCGTGCATTTAACATTTCCTTATGTGCTCCATTTTTTCTAACTTTGCTTTCTAGACACATTTTATTGTGAACAGCAATGTACTTTACTATAAAGACATTAACTATTTAGCAAAACGATATTTTAAATTATACTATTTGGAACATCTGTTTTAAAACAGGCTCATAATTAAAATTCTTAATTCACATTAACCAATAGTGCATGTCAGCATTACCAAATCATTTTTGCTTAAAGATATACCTTTCTCTTGCTTTGACAAAAATAAATTTCTTCGAAACTTCCCCACATATACTAAGGCGCATATGATATGTTACCCTGTATCTTGTTTTTGTTCCAAATGTTCCCAATTGCATTCCACAAGCTTCCTTAGATCCATAAAAAACAACATCTAATGTAAACAGGGGGTTTCTAGATATTAGAAAATGCTATGCTACGAAGTGGCCTTCATCATTAAGACTTTGGATTGGACATATTGGAAATTTTAAAAAATAAAGGGTGGATGCTGAGGATGTTCTTGCAGGCCAAACTGTTTGTACAATGCTTTGGATACATAAGACACATAAGAGTTTGGCCTTCATCATTGCTCCCACAACAACCAATACACTCAGACTTTGTGACTACGCAGGGAAATACCATAACTGACAACATAACTTTCCTCTTATGCCACAATTTAAAAAAAAATGTAAAAAAACTCCTCCAGGTCTACATGTATGAGAGCTTTCCAAAACTGACCTACAGAGGGCCCACTGCAACTACATCAGGTTACCAAGGGTGACAAGACACTTGCTCTTTCAGAAATAAGAAATAGATGGGGGCATATACCCCTTAACTTTTTGGAGGTGGATCTAACTCTGCAGTTTTGTCAAGACCTTCAAAACACCAGTTTACTTTGGGCTCCCATAATCCAATAGAAAAAGTATTCTTGCCGACATCAAGCCCTCCGCATTGTATCTCATTCCTGTATAAACTGCTCCTTACAGCAGCAACTCTAGACCCTCCAGCCTACCTGACCCACAGGTAGCAGGAATTTTCTCACACCCTCTCTTATGAACATTGATGAAAATTCTAACTCATACTTCCTCTATCAGTACCACTATATCAGAGAGCAGTGTTAAACTCCTAGCTCAGTGGTGCAGAGACCCAATTCATTTAAGTAGGTGGGACTCCCGGGTTTCTCCAATGTGCTGGAGATGTGAACTGGCAACTGGCTCCCCCAAATTTGGTGACAGTGCACACTCAATGAATCTTACTGTTAAAAAAGGTCACTATTTTCATAGCAAAAAGTGCCACCCTGACACTTTTTTTTTTTACAGCTTTGACAACACAGTTACAGTATGTCTGCCCCTACATATCCCTACACAGAAATCCCTAATACCATACTTCCTGAATGCGTCCGAAGAAAAACCTCCAAACCACCATCTGTAGTGGAATGGATATTGCAAGATGATAAATTATTTGATGGAAGAGATCACCATTCTTAAAAGGGCTGTCCACAACAAACATTACAAAACATTGCAGAGTATGCCTTATTTA